AGGAGAAGTCGGCGCTCATGGCCGAGGCCGAGGACCTCCCCCCTTACAAAGACGACGAGGAGGCTGCTCCCAAGACCGAGACCCCTCAGGTCTAAAAAGAAGCAAATCCGACCTGGAAATGCAACAACGAAAAAAAAACCGACAACTCGGCTGCGAGACCAAACTGATGATACCACTTTTCCTTTAAATGTTTTCTGCTTTGCTTTTCCTTTGCGTCTTTGTCTGGGCACCGAATAACACCTAGAAACCAAAACACCACACACAAAAACACTCCAAGATTGGACAGGAGAGGAAGCTACACAACTCATAAGAAGCGGCGTTTCATATTTATCCAGGGAACGGATTGGCAAGTTAGGGGGGATTTACTTTTGTCTTTATCGCTCGTCATCACATCACATCGAGACGTTTGGTATGCTGCTGCGTTTGGAGCCGGGACGGACTACTGTGTGACGCACGATACCACACACGACACTCTCTTACCTATGCCCAAAAAAACAACAAGTTTGCTATCGAGACGGCTCGACGACCAAAACACGCACAAGCGACCGTTTTTCAACTGGGATCAAGAAAAATAAGAAGAAAAACAACTGTACCGATAGGCTTCAAATACCCACATTCCTTGAATTGAGACTCTGCCTTTGCGAATGGACGTTGCACGACGCTTATGCGAGGTGCTGCGATGTGAACTGCTACCTGCCTGTATCTGACCACGCCGGGTTGGGCACACCCCCGGACCGCCCGTTTCCTCATGCTCCCCTCTTCCGGACTTGCCGATCCTCAGCCCATCACCCCCTCCACATCTCTGATGGACGAATCCGGCCGTGCCGGGGACCTATCGGACACAGGGACGGCGGGGCTCGACTTAGTGGCAAGCCCGTTCGTTTACTGGAGGAAGTTCAACTCGGGTGTTTATTCCAATAACCAATAAGTTGAATGTGTCACTCCAGGATTGGACGAGCTGGGCTCTAGTGTAATTCGGGGAGAAGAAAAAAAAAATCTGGTGGCGGTGAAGGGCAAGAAAGGAATAGCTTTTCATCTTCTTAAAAGCAACAACCACAACAAAAAAACAAAACCATTCTTATCATGGAAAAGTCGCGGTGCCGTACGATATGATATCATGGCTTGGTATTATTATACACAGAAACGGGGAATGCCAGCTGCCCGCAGGCGACGCAACACGTCGACGCTCACGGCCGCGCACACATCCATACACCCCGCGCACCCGCCCTCTCCTCTCAGAAGGCCACCAGCGAGTCCCGGGGCCTAATGGAGTAGTACATCGTCACGTGGGCGCCATGCTCTTTGCTGAATGCGAACGAGACGTACGAGTGCGTCCCCGTGGTCTTTTCCGGGTTGGAGCGGGGGCTGGCGAGCGTTCATGGTCAGTCTCGAAGCCCTCATCCGAAGAGATGTGGATCGGGTGGGAGAAGGGGGGAGGGGGGGCAACAAATACTTACAAGCTGCGGCATATCGTGTCCTCGTACTGGTCGGCAACGGGCCAGCCCCTCGAGCGGAACGCCTCGGCGAGGTTCGACGCGATGACGGCGTCGCTGTCGGCGTACTGCCACAGCGGCACGTAGGCCGTGACCTCTGGCCACCGGGCGCCGGGCCTGAGCCCGAAGCCGTAGCAGACGCCCTTGTGGACCGTGTTATCCACCCTCGGCCGCTTGTCGAAGTCGTCGCCGTAGGGCTCCGGCTCGTTGTGCAGCAGGTGCCAGATGCCGCGGAGGCCGTCGAGCCCCGCGCGCGTCGCCTCGTCGTCGACCCGGCCGCCGAGGGTCATGACGTCGCGCACGACGCCGAAGGCGTTGGACCGCGTGCGCGCGTACACCTCGGCGCGGGCGCCGCCCGCGGCCGGGTCCACGCAGTCCAGGGCGATCATGCCGACGGGGATGGGGAAGGGCGCGTTCCTGAGGTACTCCTCCGCGGCGCCGGCGGAGGGGGCGAGGTCGGCGCCGCCGGGGGACAGGGAGCGGACGGCGTCGAAGGCGATGTTCTCCGTCGAGTCGCCCGTGGCGATGTGCTTGAGGATGGGGGAAAAGTAGGCCCTGAAGACCGTCTTGTCCCCGTCGAGGTCGAACGACAGGAACGACGTCGGCGCGCGCTTGCCCCTGGGAAGCCTGGCGAGGGCCGCTTTCGTCTCCTGTTCCGTCAGGAACAGGGCGGACATGAGCTGCTCGAACCACCGGGTGTCGGCGCCGTGGGAGACCATGCGCAGAGAGGGGAGGATGGCGGGGACGATCTTTTGCGCAAAGGGGTCCGAGGCGGAGCCGCCGTGGCGGCCCATGGGCTCGAAGGAGAAGCGGACGAGGGAGGAGCCCGAGTCGGTCATGCTCCAGGAGGGCTCGAAGGGGGAGCCGTCGGCGGTCAGCAAGGGCTTCGTCGGGGCGGCGGACGGGTGGGGCCCCATGGCGGGGACGATGATCTCGGAGAGGAACTGGACGTGCGCGGCCCGCTGGGCCGGCGTGTAGGAGCCGGCGGCCTGCATCAGGAGGTCGAGGCTCTCGGCGCAGCGGGCGGCCCAGAAGTCTTGGTCGGGCCTGTGGATGTATATCGACTCCTGCGCCGGGAGACAGAGGTCCTTCTCCTGCTTGGCCATGGCCCGCGGGGAGAGGATCTCGGCTTGGCCAAAGGCCATGGGCGACCTCGCGCACCTCGGCGAGAGCGGCAGAGGATGGAAAGGCCTGGTGGTCATCGTGTAAGTCGACGTTGCCGCGACGGGCGCCATTGATACAGCTGGTCAGTGTGAAGAAGAAGGAGAAGAGGAGGAAGAAGGAGGACAAGGAGAAGGAGAAGAAAAAGATGGCGACGAGGTCGCCCAACTCTTGAGGACAGACGGTGGAAGAGAGTCAGTCTCTGGGCCGCTCTGGGCCGCTCTGGTCCATTATAACTCTACTGCGGTGTGCACATCTGGGCGAACAGAAAAGCAGCGCAGCTGAACCTGGCAAAAGAAGTTCTGCGAGTCTGGTCCTGAAACTACCCTAGGTGCTTAGTTGCCGTCGCCCAGGTGTCTACCTAGGTCCTTGCGGCATCCCGATATTTAGCAGGGACGACGGACGGTAGACCCCCAAGAACTTGGTTGGTCAAAGCCAGGATGGGGGTCAATGTGTGGCGGACCGCCTCGAGGGGGGAGCGCATGGTAACCCGGGATCTCGTGGCCACCACTCTTGGAGCGAAGTCTTCGCACCCGAAAGAGGCAAGAGATGTGAATCCCCCCCCCCCCCCTAAAGCTCACCTAGGCCATTTATCTGCAAGCCATGCGGCGTCCACCTCGTGGTGGATGGTGATCCGGACACAACCGCCCCTCCGCCGGACTGCCAGGTTGGGCAACCCTGAGGAGAAGAAAGACCCACTCAATACGGTGGTGGGTGGCTACCTACTGAACGGGCCATTGGGTGCCCAAGTGCTATTCACTTGATTGGTGATCATGTCATCGGACAAGGCGCCAAAGCGCTTCTTTAGCAACGGCCTCGGGTATCACCCAGCCGCCCGGTGGCCGAAAAGAAAGGATAGGCAGGCGGAAGAAGGATAAAAAATAAGAATAGGAGGCACGTGGATATGTATGTATCAAGCAGCCAAGACATGACAACCCAATATGTCAGTCGGCCTGCCTGCAAGCTGCGGGCTGCCAGGCTGCAACATGGCAGCTAAACAGGTCCCTGCATGCTCTGTGTCTGCAGGCAGCGAAGCACACAACTATTGGCCCAGGCAGTGCGATCGAAAGCCAAGGCCGAAGCGCTGCGTGTGTGTGTGTGAGAGAGTGAGTGAGTGTGTGAGTGTGCCGGGGAGGCGCAGATAGAGAATAGAAACGTCATGCAACGTCGTCCTACGCAGTTGGTTGCTTGTGGTTTGCTTAAGGCATGGGCATCTGGGCCAAGAGAAACCTAATTTACCGGACGCCCAAAAGAGTATGACCATGCTTTTTTTCCCTTCTCGAGAAGAGGGGGGCTGTTGTGTAGGTATGAGGGGCTGCAGAACCCATCTTCTGGAAGGGCTAGAAGACGGGACGAAGGCTCTAGGTGCCACACGGCGACGACAACGATACAAGTAGGTAGGGCATTGTTGGGGAAAGTTAAGGCATTAGCTTCCTAGGGTGACGCACACGAGACGACATGTATAGGTGCTGCAGAGAAATCCAACGTCAGGAAGGGAGTGTCATATGGAGCTTAATGTGTTGAGTACTGGGGCATAATACTTGAACTGTGTTTCCCCAAACTGTATCGCTATTATCGTGTACCTGGCGACCTCACCAGGAACCAACCGCCTTGCAAACTGTACCTTACCTACCCGGTAGTGTCATATGGAGCGAGAACAAATGCCGAGACCGTTGGACTGGGTTGGGGCAAGAACCAACCAGCGGCACCGTGTGTCGGGTTGTCACAGCCAGGACCCCTTGATGATATATGCATTTCCCTTTTAGGTGGGCGTCTGTGAGTCGTGAGATCATCACTTGGTCCCAGGGATGGCGTGTGAGGCGGTCTGCCTTTCTTCTCGGCAACGGGCCGTTCAGGAGTGGCAAACAAACAGTGCGGATCGACTTGGACGTGTTCACGCGTGCGAATCGAATCGATGACGGTATGAGCTCCTTGAAGAGGGCAACGCGCGCGCACTTGCATTCATTCGCGCCTGGGCTGCCAAGCAAGGCCGTCGACGGCTTGAGCAGAGCTGGAGAGGTAGCGCACCCGAGGGCGGCAGCTGTACATCTCAATCATTCACCAGCCAGCCGCCTGGGAGAGTCCGAGTAGAGGATCGAAATTGCTTGTCCGTGGAAACAAGCAATAAATAGAGTAGATGGTGTTTGTCATTTGGATGCGACAAACGTTGAGTGTGGCGCCTGCTGGTTTGCGACTCTGGAAAGGAAGAAAATAAATGCCAACCACCAGGCTTACTTACTTACAACTGACCGAATATGAACAAGTGCACAAGCTTGTACCACACAGCCTGACCTTTCCGTCTTAGGACGCGACTTCAAAACTGTTGAAGAAAAATACAAAAGATTATGCAATTGCCGGGAGTCGAACCCGAGTCCCCAGCTAATTTGTGATGGAAGGCTGGGATGATAACCGCTACACTACAATTGCTGGTACTAATTGATGGTAGTAGATCGAAGCTAGCTACCTAAGTAGGAAACCCTTGGCCCCGAATAGGACAGTTGTGGGTCCACTCGGCTCCATGATATTCGGCTGAACTGGAGGCACCTACACAACATCATTAGAGACTGAAGCATGTATCTCAACCCACTGCTTCTCCCAACCTCACTTACTTGAGAGCCTCCCCATGCTCTTGTCTCTAGAGACATTTCTGCTTCTATTCTGATGAAAAATTCTCTTGCATTCTTTACATGCTGCTTATGTCATAAACTTTTGTGCTACTGGTTCAACAAGGAGCCAGACAGAATGCGAGTTGGGATTGTCTCTGGTCTTTGCTAACGTCTACGGTAGGTCTTCTGAGATCTGCATTTCGTACCATCTTTCGTCTACCATTCCGTCGATCATCGGAAATAATTACCCCTCCATTGCTCCTGTTCCACGCTGCTTGGCATCCCCTCTGCGCTTCATGCCATCTAGATGTTCCTTCCAAACCAATGCAACAGTTTACTCCATCTTCAACCATTGCAGCACCCTTGTCAAGGTGCCTACCGTGTAAGTTTGACTGTCGACAGACCAAGAGCTAGCGGGATCAAATTCGTCTTCCCGAGCTCCGTGCAGAGATGAAAAATCACAAGAGCCCGCCCGCCGCTCAGCCGACAAGCAGTTTTTGCGTGTGAAACGTTTCGGCAACGTTTCCTCTTGATCTAATGAGAAACCAGGATAATATTGCCTGTATCCGATTGAAACCGCCATCATCAAGTTGGGGTTAAAGTGAATCCTGCCTAGAGGCATTATGAGTATCTAACGGCCATGTTAAACTCCAAGTGGTGCGAGGAGTCACGGTAAGGAGCATAGAGTGTATGGGAAAGGGCTAGAAATCTCCCGGAAACACGTCTCTTGCAGATGGATACGTGGCAGCTCCTACGACCACAAAATGGGTAGACTTGGATTCATCCGCCATCTGAACAACGCAACGCCAAGCACGGGAAACTCGCCGCGGAGCTGGTTTTCCTCGTTCCAAGTCCCCGTCGCGGCTATCGCGTAGTGACCACCACTGCTCTCCGCCAACAAGGACCTCTTCGTTGACGGGGGATAGAAAACCAGAGGACCCGACACCGCAATCCCTCCGGCCAAGCAATATCAACCTCAGGCCCGACATTGCCCGCGAGCCGCATGTCCTCCCCGCCATCTACCGCGGGTTCTGCGTCAGCGGCGTGCGTTCAAGTTGGTCGTGTCCTCCGGCTTGGCTACCTTTAGCAAGATCATCAACTTCTTGGCTGGCTGACCAACACCAAAAAGATTGGCATCCCAGACGAATGCGTCTCCATACGAATCCTTTGCCAATGCTTGGTCTTCCACTCGGTGGGAAGCAGACGGAGGGCCTTATACGGGACCGTGATGTCTTCTCCGTCATCACGGGCTTCATCCCGAAGTCTCGGCAATGTTGCGTCTTTTGTTTCTCCATGATGACCTAGGACGGGTTTCCCTCCAACTTACCAAGCACGCCTGGCCACAATACCAATGTCGATGACCGAATGAAATCCCTCAGAGCTCCGCCAAGACCGCCGCAACGGCTTCAGCATCTCCATATTTATCGACAATACGGAGTAGTGCAGGATGGGATCCGGGGTAATGCGGGGGGAGGGACATATCTTGAGGGGTTATAAGAGCGCGATTCCTTCATGTTCTCGTAGAAGGAGGCGTGTCAACCATCTCCGAGCTTACTTCCTTTCCTGACTTTACAAATTCGACATGGCGAATGATACGGTGTGTGATGCGCCCTCAGGCCAGGAGCCTACAGCCTACGGTGGCACCAAGGGAAACACAGCGCCCCACGTCACCTCGGATGAGCCCATCGACGCGGACGACAAGCCCGCGTTTCCTCAAAACTCTCCGGCCAACAACTCGGAAGTCTGTAAGGAGGCCCGGAGGGTGAACGCCATCGAGGCCCTCGGCATTCCGGACTGGCAGGCCAAAGAAAAAAAGATTGTTCGCACCCTGGACATGACTCTGCTCCCTCAGTTGTGGATTCTGTACATGTTCAACTACCTAAACCGTACGAACATCGCGTAAGGCTGGCATACTCGGGGGGGAGGGGGGGGAACAAAGCAACCGCCGCTGACATTGAATACAGACAAGCTCGTCTAGACGACGACTTCGAAGCAACTCTCCGGCTCGGAAACACCGACTACAGCACCGCGGTTGCCCTGCTCACTGTTGGGTCAGTCGAGATGCTCGTTCCACACGGACCATGCTGACGCTTTTTGTTTTTGTTTTTCTTTTGCAGCTACATGCTGGCGCAGCTGCCTTCCAACATGCTCATCACCCGAGTCAGTCCAGGCCTCTACCTCCCGACCTGCGCGATCCTGTGGTCTGGGGTTTCTGCCGCGACAGCCGCCGTCACTAGCCCGGGACAGCTCTTCGCCGTCCAGTTCGTCCTGGGCATCATCGAGGCCCCTCTATTTCCGGGTGTATGTGACCCCCCTTACTTCCTTCACCCGAAATCGCGCTGAGACCTCACGGGGGAAAAAAGGCCGTCTACCTCATGTCATGCTGGTACACCCGCAGAGAACTCGCACTCCGCACCGCCCTCCTTTATTCCGGCCTCGTCCTCGCCCAGGCCTTCTCCGGCCTGATCGCCGCGGGCGTCTTCTCCGGCATGTCGGGGGCCGCCGGCGTCGCCGGTTGGCAGATGCTCTTTATAATAGAAGCCGCACTCAGCGGCTTCTTCGCCCTGACCGCGTACTTCACCCTGCCCAACTACCCGCACTCCAAGACCGGGGGCGCCATGTGGTACATGACCGAGGACATGCGGAGGATCGCCGTGGCCCGCGTCGAGGCCGACCGTGTGGAGCAGCCCACCGACTCGACCGTGTGGCAAGGCCTGCGCCTCGCGTTGGCCGACGTGAAGACGTACATCTTTGTGAGTCTCCTGAACCCCCCCCCGCCCCTTGTCCCTCTGAACAGCACTGCTCACGCGCGTCAAAATGCCCAGGTCTTCATGAACATCTTCATGACCTCCTCGTACGGGTTCAACAACTTCTTCCCCACGATGGTCCGCGGCTTCGGCATGGGCAGCAGCACGATGGCCCTCGTCCTCACCGCGCCGCCCTACATCCTGGGCACCGCGGTGTCCTTCGGCGTGGCGTGGTCCTCGGACCGCGGGAAGGAGAGGGGTTTCCACATCATGGCCAACAACTGCCTGTCCATCGTCGGTTTCGTCATCTCTGTGGCCACCCTCAACACCGCGGCGCGCTACGCGGCGGCCTTCTTGTATACATCGGGCTCTTTCTCAGCCAACGCTCTGGTAGGACCTTTCCACACACACCCACACACGCACGCACGCACAAAGCCCCTCTGACTACTCTGTGCTGACATGGCCCATCACATTGACAGGTCTATACCTGGGCCGTCTCCTCGCTCGGCCAGACGCCGGAGAAGCGCGCGGCCGGCGGCGCCATCGTCAACATCATTGGCCACCTGGGCAACGTCATGTCGCCCTACTTCTTCCCCGACAGCGACGCGCCGCGCTACACGATGGCCATGGTCCTCCAGATCGCCTTCGCGGGCCTGACTTTCTGTACGGCCTTCGCGTCCAGGGCGTACCTGCGGGGGCAGAACAGGAAGCTGAGGGCCACGGCGGACGAGACCGGCGCCGTGTACAACCCTTTCACGACGTGACGAGGTCATGGTTTCCTGTTTCCCCCTTTTCTTCTTCGTTACCTGTCTTGGTTCTGGAAACACGGCTTAAGCGCAAAGAAAGAAAAGAAAAAGAAGAAAAAGTCTATGGTAAAATATCCACACCACACATATCACCGTTGTACAAACGGAAAGTGTATGAATCGATGGTTCGTGAATGGTTTCCCCCCCTGACCCTTTTTATTTTGTTTTTCGATCCAATACCCCCCCCACCTGGCAGTCCTGTGAGACTTTGCGCTGCAAAAACCGAAGCGTTCTTGAGGGGTCTTGGAAGCCCCCCCCCCGTACGACAGTTGTCCTAGAAGCTTGGCAGCTTTGTGCGCTTCTCCTGTCGGATACTCTGTGAATACTCCTCCACGGATGCTAGAATAAGCCATACCGTATCAGCGCCCACGTAGAGCGAGCGGGTGGGTTCGTCTTCAATATCTAGTTGGGCTGAGGGAGGGTACGTTTTCGGTCCACAGGGGGGCATGAGCTGTCTGTTGTGGAAGAAAGGAATGAAGGAGGCCATCGGCAGAAGATGGGCCGTGGCATGGGCTCTGGTCAGAGTAGGGCGCTATCACGTAGGGAGAGTGCCATGAGAATACAACGATGGCAGAGCCGAGTGCGTGGACTGGCCTGTGCTAGGCCAACGGAAAGTGACGCAGTATTGAAGCGGTCACCGAATATCGAAGTGGTCGAACAACGGAACCGAGGGCCCGCCGGGATGTGTTTGGCTTCGTCGGGCGCAACGGAAGAATGAACGGGCTTTGGTCTCTTGGAGTCGAGGAAACAATCGACGAAAGCAACGGTCACGATACAGCATGATGCGACGCCTCCTCCGGCTGGCCGACTGGCTGACATGGTGATCCGGCCGTCCTTTGCGTACCGATTGGTTCATTCGGCAGTGCCATCGCCGCCCAAGACCATACGCCAGCCAGTCCGTTCGCGCCCTGGCGTACACGGAACCACGAAGACAAGCAACGTGGGAATTTACGAGTTCAAGCTGACCAAGTCGTCAGATTATAGTGCGTCCGTCCGTCCTACCTCGGGCGGAGGGGGGAGGCGGACTGGGAAGGCGATACGTTGTGGGACAGGTCGTCCGTCTCTAGCCCAAAGCGGTGCATGGAGGTTTGTACGAGCACACCGCCAACCCGCCAGGCGAGAGAGCCTTCCGCCCCAATCCTTACCTCGTCCATCGACTTGAAGCTCTCACCGGCAACGCGCAAGCTTCGGACGCGAACCCAAAAGCGATGTGTGCAACAAGGGTTGCTGGTAACCCGCGAACCAAAAAAAACAAAAAAAGTTTTTCG